ACTCATGTTGAATATTGTGATAATATATTAGTTAAGGTAACTATATTTGTTATCTGATTTTCATAGAAAGTTTTAAGAAAAAGTATTGTAACTTTTATGTCAGGCCTATCCGCCTTCTTATGTAATTCACACTGTATATAACTTCCGCGTAGCTAGTGATCACTTCATAATCAATCAAGGAATTTATCCTTCACAGGTTATGAGACTCATTTTGCGCAAATAACTGCCAATTCAGGGAATTCTTGTCAAATATAGTATATATTAATCACTGCTCACTTCATTCAATATAATATTGTCTTATTTTATGTCAATTGATTGATTTGATGCACTCTTATATTATTTTTTTTTTTTCTGTATTCAATCTATTTACTTAGTGAGTGAAAAAAAAAATCTGCAACTCACTAATTTTTCAGCAACTGATCACACAAGAACATGCCAATCCACTCAATCAAGCTTATAGGCAAGAATCTCACTGAATAAGATTACTTCATTATAAAGAAGATTAATACAACATGACAGAATGTATGATGACTCACTTATAGTTGTGATTGAGTCAATCTAGTCAATCTGACTGATCTGAAAATGACCAGGGGGGTCTGAGCTTACTGACCCCCCCAAGGGCATTCAAGAGTTCCAATATTGGATCTCTTGAAATGCCTGATCAGCAAGCCGGGCTGATTACAGCCCCTATCATAGTGAGGCCAGTCTGCCTACATTGTGTTGAATATGCTGATTCAACTTTTTCAAAAGATGAGGTGGAAACACCTACAGTGATCTTTAACTCACTGCTGGCAACTAATTCTAAAGAATTGCAACTGAGGAGATTAGATCTTGAATATCAAAAAATTGATTTAGAACTTCAAAAAGAAAGATGTAAAGAATTGCAGCTTCAACTTCAATTAGAGAGGCTCCATACTCAGAATAACAGGGCCATAATACTCACAAATTCACTGGCAGGTTGACTGTCAGCATGAGATTCAAACTTGAAGTTTTGAATGCAATATAATCTCTATGACCTAGATAGCTATGTTGGCAAGGTGATCAGCCAGTTTAAACAATATACTAAGTATATCACTAAGTCAAACACTTTGGTCAGATCTTCAAATTACCTCTCCTGGCATGTGAATATGAAGGCCAAGCTAATTGACACTCAATGCTGGGATATATTAGAGGACAAGCAAGTCAAAATCTCTAATGAGGACCCTGAATGAGCTCTTTTTTGAGAGGTCAAAAATCACTGACTTTATGCATTTATTTTGAACACGTTAGCAGCCAGCATTAGGCTTTATTTTAATAAGTATAATGAGGGTAGAATCACTTATTCTCTTTGACACATGATTGAGGAGGAGTTCTTCATCTCAAGAATGCAGCTCTACAGAGAAGTAGTCTTGGTATTTACATCAATGAGTAGTGTTCAAGTTACTAACATACACATATTTTTCAATAAGTTCAATGACATTATTATGAAATTAGAAATACTCAATATTTTACTATCAAATAATGTGGTATTTCACATATTCTATTCTGCACTTTTCAATATATGGTAAAACTATATGCAAAAGAAAATTAAAAAGGTACAAGAGTTCAAATCAAAGTCTGTTATGTTGGACATTCATTCAATCATGAAGGAAATACACTCTTGATTGAACCCTCTCGAAGAGGTCAAGAAGACTGCTCAGGTGGCTAATTCTTTAGTCAACATAGCTCAGACTGAAAATGCAGCTATAGATTTTAATAATAGCAGCAATATTCAAAATAATTCAGCCTGTTAAGGCTGTTTCAAGGGATGCAGAGACTATTAAATGAGTGAATGTTCAAATTCTAATCTCTCAATTTTCTTGAAATACAAGCATTGTCATGACAGACTCTGCTGAGCAGCCAATTCAGATAGTGCTCTCAAAGAATGAAGAATCATCAACATAGTGAGAATAGAGAAATATAATAATAAGAAGAGTAGTGAGGGCAAAAAAACTCTGTTAACTGCAAATGATAGCTCTGAGATGTTTCAAATGACAAATATAGTGCAGATCATTAGAGTACCTGTGTACTCTATCAAATCAATCATCAACTCACTCATCATATGGAATAGCAGGGCCAGATGTCATATTGTATGGGATTAATCATGATTTTTTTGAATAACAAAAGTTAGCAGCTCTATGATTTAAGTGATCAATAAGACTACTTTGAAGATAATTATAGATTGATCAATCTTTCTAATGATCACTTTTACACATTAAAAGATGTGATATTTCAAGAAGATCTCCATTTGATGAATCCTCTGGCCTTGCCTGAGTAAGATGCCAAGAATCTATCTTCTGCTGCCTATGTGGCTGCAGTTGCAATCTCCTCCACTCAACACAATTTATCAACAGACAATTTCATGATGGACAAAAAGTTTCTATCTACCCTTCTAGTATTTCTACACTCTATAAATAATTGATAAATAGACTATGAGATTATTATATAAATTTTAACATTTTTAATGCAGAATATTACTATTTTCCCAGAATCTGCTTTAGAAATGAAGGATTCTTCAATACTTACTAAGAATATTACTTCAGTGAGAGAGGTCTCAGTGAGAAATTTCACTAATAATTTGACTGACATTTCTGCAGACTCTGAGATTACTGACTTGCCAGTTCTGAAAAACCTCATCCAGACTCAGATATTTGCAAATTGAAAATATTACTTCCATGCCTGTGTTAAAAAGATTAATTATTTCAAGTGGATTGATACATGGCAGCTGGTTGAAAGGACCTCAGATATGATGATTCTACATAATTAATAAGTGTTTAATAAAAAGATTAATAATGCAGATAGAATCAATTGATATAATATCTGCTGAGTAGTCTATGGCAATTATCAAAAAAAGAGTGTCAACTATTTGAAGATATTTGCACCAGTTATATCAGCTTCCACCTTCTGAGTACTTATGATGATCTCAGTATCCTGAGAATGATATGTTCTGCAGATCAATATGATTACAGCATTCTTAAATACCTGGCTTCTTATCAATGAATATATATATATACATCAACTCACCAGGTTCTATGAAGGATATGGTGATCTGGTATGTGAATTGATGCAGAGACTATATAATCTGAAGCAAGCAGCACTATTATAATATAAAAAGCTGTGAAAAATGCTATTGAAAACAGACTTTCACATCAGTTCTCATGATATCAGTTTTTTCATAAATGATATCTGCAAGGTCTATATAATTATCTATGTGAATGATATTCATCTATATAGTTTGAATATATCAGATATTGAATAGACAAAAGCCTAAATTATCACTAATTATAAGATCAAGGATATGAGCAATTCAAACTGGTATTTGAGTATGAAGATTGATTGAAATGTTAAATCATTATCACTGTCTCAGTTACTGTTCATAAAGAACCTACTTGAGGAATTCTCAATGAATGACTGCCATTCAACATCCTCCTCTATGGAGGAGAATGTTAATTTTATGAGTGATAATGAAGAACTGATTGCTTATACAGTGGAATTTACATTACATTTCTATCAATCATAGATTGACTCTTTGCAATATCTCACTGTTAACACACACTCTGATATAAGCTTCATTACTGACTTTCTAAGAAGATTCAGCTCTCATTCTATCTTGAAGAATTGAGTAACATTCAAGTAAATTCTTAGATATTTACAAGGCATATTTGACATAGGTGTGTCTTACTGAAAAGACATAGATATAGAATCTATGGTGTTCACTGATGCTGATTGAGCAGGCTATGATGCAGGTTCTCACTCCATCACTGAATATGTTATTTATATGACAGAGGGTCCTGTTGCTTGATGAAGCAGCAAGCAGACAGATGTTTCAAAATCATCTACTGAGGCTGAATATATCACATTCTTTGAGACTGCATATGAGCTTGTCTGCCTTTGGGAATTGCTAGAGGATACTGACTTTATGCTGTCCTAGCTCAATAATCTCAATAATAATGATAGTCTGATTAAATCATCAGTCAATAAGCTGGTGTAGATGATTTGAGTGAATAATAAATCAATGATTGAACTGATCAAAAGTGAGGCTATTCTGCACTAATCTAAGCATATAGAGATCTACTTCTATACTTTTCAAGATCTTATCTGCAAGAATAAAATCTCAATTGATTATATTCTGTCTGTCAAGAACACAGCAGATGGGCTGACCAAGCCACTTGAGGTGATTAGATATGCCCTATGGCAGTGGATATTAGAAGACACAGTAAACAGGTGGAAATGATTATATGAAGAAAATGACTGGTTTTTCAACAATATAGGTTTTCCAGTCAAATTATGTACCAATACCTAGCTACAGACAATTTTTTGTATGTAATCTCGCGTACAGTTACATTGATGAGTGGGGGTGTCAGGCTTATCTGCCTTCTTATGTAATCTGCATTGTATATAACTTCCGCGTAGCTAGCAATCGCTTCATAATCAATCAAGGAATCTATCCTTCACATTTTATATATAAAACCAAGCTTGAAATTCTCAATAGCTTTCTTTAAATAATCTGTTATAATACATAAGTCATCTTGTTTTTGTAAGTAGTGTCAATACAAAATCAAAATAAATAATTATAAATAAACTTTGCTAAGAAGTTATACCAGCCAAAGTTAAAGTTAATAGATTACAGCAAGAAAGGAGAAAAGTTTAACTGAATCAGCAGCTGGAATACAGCTTAGAGCAGTTTGACATATCATAAGGATGAAATCTTGTGTATTGAAGCAGCATGATTTTTGAAATATTATAATGTTCTATATTTTCTCTGAACAGATCAGATAATAACATAAAGAGCAAGCATCTGAGGCTAGATAGCAGGGACAATAATCATGCACATATCCCTGCATCTTCTCTATGCGTGAAAATGAATAAAGTCTGGAATTATATGCCTGCTATTCATTCTTAAGACATAACAGACACTGATCCTCTGAACAGATAATTGAGAACATATTAATATCTATCAGATTGAGCTCCTCTTTTCAAGCTTACGAGAGTGTCAGGTGAAGACTTCTGCCCGTTAGGAATCCCTTGCAGGCGACAGAGTGCAGTCCAGTCACGGATGACCTGCATCCAACGGCCGTCAACTCATGTTCCTCATCCACAGAGCTACTGAGAGACTGAAAGAGCCCGCGCGCGAGGTGGTGGCCCTGAGCCTTTGGGAGCGATCTGTATTGGAATTTTTTATATCATTTACCAGATCCTGCTCCTGCCGATCTAGCTCAACAAGATGAGGGTGCTGGTTGACAGCGGATTTCTGTTCATCAGTCAGGGCCTTAGGGATCCCCGGGTCCCGCGTCAAGCTCATCATCCCCGCAGCACGGATTACCGACTCGCGGAGCCGGACACCTAAGATATGCGGACTCAACATCCCCGTTTCACCTTCTGCGAGATGTAGTAGTGCTCGAAGATGTCTGCCCGTGAATGGCCGTTGGAAGGTGCTGATTGAACGTGTCATACGGCAATGCACGGTCTGCAGAAATGCATGCTCCCTGTACAGTGTGACAGTGTGAATGGTACGACGGAATACTGGTACATCAAGCATCTCATGTTTCCATCTCTCTCGCAGGCTGTTCTGGTAAGAACTGACGGACGGCGATCCAAAAGGCATCTTCCGGGGAATCAATGACCCTGTGCCTCAAATGCATGATCCGCAAATGCCACAGCAAGGAAATGGGAGATCGGGCACGGGGCGAAATTGCCATCCCACTCATAGAAAATGGAGGTCGTTCTACATCATTAGGTGTGCATAACAAACTCTGGGGAGAAGGAGGACGTGCGGCTGGGACTTGTTTCTCTTTCCTTTCATATACATCAAAGTGACCTCTATCACCGGAACATGACGCTGTGGCTCCTGCGGATTATGGATGACACGAAACACCACGTCCCTGTATCGCAGCGCATCATTCGGGCTTCGGACTCAGCCGCTCTCGGTAAGCGCGCTTCAGGACGGGAGGATGTGTAAGAGGTCATCAACAACAGCAGCGGGAGTGGCACTGTATATCGCTCATTGGGGGGGGGGGGGGGGGGGGCATGCTGATATGTCCAGACACCAGTGGTAATGAAGAACCGACAGCAGATTTTCATGGCTCAGTGTTGGTTTGCATTCGACAGACAGATCCAGGTTGTATTCATCCGTCAACGGCCATGCAGCCAATCTGGTCAGATGGGGACTGGCATAACATTGATAGGACTCACCTCGCTGACTTGCTCGCCAAGCACCTCATCCATCTTTGGACCAGCAACTCTCTTATACAGCAGTCGAAGAAACTTCCACTCAACCAAGATCGTGTTCAGTTTGGTGAAGTTGAAGTTCTTCAATTGCCAATCGGGATAGACTCGGAAGTTCTTGGCCACGCATGCAGATAGATGAGAATGGGAACCGACAGCCATAAATATGCAACCATGTTGGCGAAATCTGAGAGTCATCAGAGAAGAGATTGACCGTTCCCAGAAGTGCTGTGCACGGCTGATGGCAATGGTTGTTTGCATCAGCATAATTTTTGTGATCTCAAACTGGGCGAGAAGGGAGAGAATGGAAACATGTGCGCCAGCTAGAACAACGGGCTTGAAAGGAAAGTAAAAGCTCCAAAAAATGAAGTGGGGGCGGCGTTAGATTTATCATATGCATTTTGAAAGCCAGGGAATCACCATCCTGAAGGCGAAACCAAGCATTGATAACTCGTTGAACACCACACCGCAATGGCCACGGTCGGCAAAGAATGAGAGCTAGCGATGAGGATGCATGAAGATAAAAGCAGCGTAGTTACTTAGTTATGCTCCAGATCACGGACCGCTCTCAGTGGCTGCAACGACATCTCACGGACCATAACTAGAAGCAGTTAGTTAGCTTGATTGCTCCGTAGTTTCGCTACCACAGGGTCCAGACGGAACATACACCTCAGCACAGGATGTGGGCCGACGTACATGTAGGATACCGGCTGTGGAACGGAGTATTGCTCTCCGTCATATGCATACTGTAAAATATATAAAATAAAGAGTTAGTTAACAGTGACTTTAAAGACAAACCCCGAACACGGCTGACCGCTGCGCAGGAAGACCGCATCCATGGATTGACCGGGATAAGGGTGCGTCTCTTCATTCAGGATCAGTTATTGAGATATAAGTATTGGTTGGTTGGTTGGTTGGCTGGTTGGCTGGGAGTAACTGCTGAAAACACGCCGGCAGAGCTTGGGAAGTAGTTGACAGAGCATTGATCTGCTTTCCTTCTTCTTCTTCTTCTTCTTCTTCTTCTTCTTCTCCTCTCTCACTCACTCCCTAAACAACTCCCTGATTCCTCGAGGATTGTTGATCAACACAATCGACAACACATCCGCCATTCTGCTCGATCTGCTCCGTGGATCGCAGCCAATTCCCACTCCTTGTGGAGGAGTTAGTAGTTAGTGAGCATCATCCTCCCCACACGGCCCAGGTCTAAGCTGAATGCAGCACATTTCCCCGGCTCCGGACCCTAAAACCCCCAAACCCCCAGAGCCATTCCCAACCCGGGCGGGACTCCTGCTTGATCTTTTATATATCTCACCCATCACCGCCTCATCCTCTTTATAACTGCTTCGTCTTCCCTCCTCCCCCGCGCCGTCCTCTCTTCAACCTCTACAGCGACAACGGCCCCTCTGATCCAACCGGCTGCTGCGGCTCTGTCTGTTTGCTAGAGAGCTCTTTCTTCGAACCATCGGCTCTCCAGCTTCCCCTCTTCTTTGAAAACCCCAAATCCAAACCTTTGAAGCTAAGTTCGCTCAACGGTGTGTGTCATGTTTTTTTTTTTTTCTTTTTTCCCGCGCTGGCAAAACGCCATGTGTTCTCCCGCCCCTCTCAAAAGTGTTCCCACTCCGGCAGTTCAAGCATCTACAACCCTCCTCGATGGTCCTTGGTTTGGTTCTCGGTCTTGATGGACGTTGAGCCTGTTGTAGAACCTTGATTTTCTGCTTTGAACTCGCGAAGACTCGCGCTCCCTGAGCAAAAAGCGACTTGCTGAAGTCATCTAACACGTTCACCAAGTTCCTCCTTTTAAGATGATCACAACAGACATTCCTTTATGTTGGGAAGGAAGCTGTTTTTTGGTCTGACTGGACCTATTCAGTGACGTGCGGACACTAATAGTTCCAAGCCATCTTTCTCAAGAAGACAGAAGGCGTTTAATACGACTCTTCTATCAAATTCAGTTTTTCCATCATCTCTCATCACTCTTGTGCTGAAATACCTAGGTATTTAGTCTGCACTGCTTATGATCGCGCGATTTAACTAATTCTCTTCTCTTCTCCCCTTCCCCCTTTTTGTTTTATGACTTGCATTCAAACAATGCCAAAGAGGCCCACTGATGCTTTTGCATTCCATGTGCCAAAATGTCTGATGTCTGATAATCTGATGTTGGGATATATCTTTCTTGTCTCAGCCATGCATTTTCTACATGGTTGTTTTGGATGATCATACAATTGTGTTGTTCATTGTATTGATGCTTATCTATCCTCCATTTAGACAGTTTGCTTTTCAAAACCGTGTTAAATTGGGACGCGAAAACAACAACTGCGAGTTGAGCGGTGTAGGTAGGTATTTTACTCGAGTGTATTGGCGGAAGAAGTGGTATGCGTGTTTCACGAGAAGATATCTTATGTGGAAATTATTACTAAACTTGTGCTAGGTGGTGTCCGTCGGTGCTTACGCGCGTGTTGAAGCGCAAACAAGTTTTGTTCATTATCAACGCGTTGATCAATATCAACTTTAGCTTAATCTGGAGTAATCCTTTCTAGCCACACGTCTATCCTATGAAACCATTACAATGGTCGACCAAAGCGATCCCGCCCCTGTGCAGCCTCCTGAAATCATGAATTCATCACCATCGGACCCTAACAAGCCAGACAGCCTGTCAAGCCGTCCAGCAATTACGAACCAAGAAGAACTGCATCCGAACCCGAATCGGAGCTTTTTATTGGCGGACGTAACCCCAAGCGAAGCCGCATCTTCCTCTACCAATATTGACCGCTTTGGAATTTCGGAAGGCCCTGTTTCGACATTTGTACCTCAAGACTCGACTGGCTATACACCAGAATATAACCCAGATGAATGCCAGGATGACTTACAGTCATTGTCTCATTCTACTGTTTCCTTTGCATATGTGCCAGGCACTACGGAACCCCAGAATCGTAGCGTTTTGCCAGATCAGATTTCTACTTCTGGGCAAGCACTGCTGGATCTACCTCATCCCCCTCCTGTCATCGAAAATCTGGCTGCCGGGGTTACTCTTCCCTCATCTAGCGATGGCAACGCCGCAGATCAACTCAATCTCAGCTCACATAATGGATCAGCGACTTTCGTCATGACAGCAACTGGTACTGTCGTATCCCCTTCTCTCCCTAATTCCACAAGTGGCTCTGGCCCAAATCACCCACAAACTTTGACCCAAAATCCAGGAAGCATGGATGATGACGAAGACATGGAGCTCGGTGATGGCGAACAGGACGACTACGATGATGAAGACTATGACGATGGTGATGACGATGCTGATGACGACGAAATCCCGGTTCTCCCAGATAATCTGATTGAAGATTCTGAGCTATCCGGCTTTTCTTATGACAGATTGCACGGTCAACCTCCAACTTTTTTCGATGGCGAGAGAAGTGTTTGCGATGAGTCTCTCTCAGATACGAATGACACTGAAAAGTTTTACATCACTGATGATGAGTTGTCCTGGTGTGATCCCACTGAATATTATCCACCAAGTTTCACTATTGATAACAATTTCCACGGCAGCTGGCCTCAACAAAGCCAAGTGCAAAACCCCACCATTGGCGCTCGTCCTCAACCCCTTTCTGGTACGAGCCTTGAAAATATTATTGGCCAAAACGTTGCATTCAGTAATGCTGCGGACGATGACGATAACTTCGACACAGGCATGTCTACGCAGACGGAAAGTATGGAGTCTCATTTCATAAGCCCACTTTCTACGTTGTTTCTCCCATTCAACATTTGGACCCTTGGAAAGGCCCAGCACATCATCCATCGTGCATTTAATAATATGAATTCCCCTGAATATTCATCTGGCCTTTGCACACGAGATCCATTACCCAACGCTGACAGCTTCATATTGCAAACCATTTCATACTATATTTTCAAATTTTCCATTTTTGCAAGCCCATCAAGAGGCTTTTTCATACTTAGCGGTGCCCATCGTGCCCTTTTCGTTAATGAAACCTCCATCACTTTCCTTACTGGCCTTGACGTGACAGATAAGTTTATGAAGTCTCACGAACATACACAAGATTCCCCGCATTTTTATTTCTGTAGAGAACTTCCCTGGCCCAGGATTCCAGCCTCCCTTTCAGACATCTCTTCAGTCAGCCCACTCAGTCCGGGAAATGTTACAGCTAGGCCCCCAGCATCTCGCCCCATAGAGCTTTTGACTGAGGCTCAGTATGATGACATACACAAGACTTCTGAAGAGTCAATCTACTATGTCCCCCCTTCATTGATCTTGAAATATTTCAATGCCCACGTTGCAAGCGCACTTCTTGCGATCCCAATTGCCCCACGCAAAGGTCTTACTTACAGTATTGCTGACGGTCTTGAATTTCCAGCATTCGAAAGGAATCTTACGGTCGACATGTTCATTAAGCAGTGGCTGGTTCGATCCAAAATCCCCCCAGAACAGCTTCCAGCGAAGGAGCGGCCTCATATCCCCATATCGGACGCAGCAGCAGATGTTTCGTATTGGCCACGGCCGCAGAAGATATCGCGCCCGGATGACCACCAGTTCCAGTCCTACGATATCCAGAAAATCCCTTGGTGGAAGAAGATGAATGTCCGGAGGTCGGATGCTAGGATGCTGCGCGATTCTTGGTACAAATGTTACCATAATCTGATGTTTAATCCACATGGGGTGAGTCGTCTCTAATTCTCTCTTGAATTGTTCACTGAGCCATTTTGCAGTATTCGAAGCGGTTGCCACACGCAGAGGAATATTTTAAGGCAAAGACAATGTATACCAAGTACAAGGCGTCAATGTCGCATTTCCAGTTGCGCAATCTTATGTCCGTGACATCGTCGAATACCGTGCAGTATGCTCACGAATCGAAGGTCTATTCCGTAACCCCTTTCCATAACCAGAAGAGCGTCCTGATCGACCTCTCCAATCACTTGAAGTTGGCCGTGTTCGTGGATCGTGTCAAAATTTCAACAATGAAAGCTAAGCACGGCGTGACGCTTGTTGGCGGATTTTCCGGGGAATATGCTATGAGAGGCCTTGTGACGGACAATACTGTGGTAAATGGCTATGTGACTAAAGATCCAAACGGGATAACAAACCACATCGATATCATCAAGAACCGGACAAGCCGTAGTCCTCAGGCAATCATTTCGTCCAACGATCTTTACATTCGAGTCCTTGATTGTGAGACCAACAAATTTGTTCAACGCCAGAAGTTTGCGCGTGCCATTAATTGTACCGACACCTCACAGGATGGTCGACTCCGTGTGATAGTTGGAGATGCTAAAGAGGCGTGGATAGTCGATAGTGACACTGGGAAGCCACTACAGCAACTGGCTGGCCATCAAGACTTTGGGTTCGCTTGTGTGTGGTCACCAGATATGCTTCACGTTGCAACAAGCAATCAGGACGGAATTGTTAACATCTGGGACGCTCGTATGTGGCGAATACTCCAATTCATCGAGTCCGACGTCGCAGGTTACCGATCTTTGCGATATTCCCCTGTTGGGGGAGGTCCGCGTACGCTTCTCATGTGCGAGCCTGCCGATCGCATCTCAATAGTCAACGCGCAGACGTACCAGACGCGTCAAGTGCATGATTTCTTTGGCGAAATTGGAGGAGCTGATTACACTCCCGATGGCGGCCGCATCTGGGTTGCTAATATGGATCAAGCGTTTGGCGGATTGATGGAGTTCGATCGGTGTCAGTGGGGTCAGGAGTTCGGTATGGCGCGCACGAGGAGACGACATATTGAAGAGCGTCTTGATACTTATTACCCCGACCTGCCTAACGAGTGGCTTCCAGAAGCGGATCTGGATGACGATGAGAGATGCGTGCTTGGGAGTGGGGAGAGGAATATGCGGTTTCGACGGTTGATGGGGAATAGAGAGCATGCGGAGTTTCTTCGCTAGCCAGATAGGTCTTGATTTGCTGGGGTTTTCTTTTTCTTTTCTTTTTTCTTTTATTGCCTTTTTTCATTGTGTTTTTATTTCTTCTTCTTTTTCTTCTTTTTTTTTTTTTTTTTTCCCCGATTCTCTGTCTCCCTATTTCTTCTGTTCACGGGTGCTACGTTTTAGCTCATTGCATTTTCTCATTGCTGCTTTTTTCCACTTTTTCTCTGGTGTCTCTCTTGACATGGCATTGTTTCTTTTTACCTCCTGGATCACTTACCCTTTTGTTCAACTCAATCCTCAAAGGATCCTATTGGAGTAACACGGCCTGGACGTCATATCCTTTTCTGCATAGGCTTTCATACCTCCTATCCCTGGGCTCTTTTGTTTTTTTTTTTGTGCCCTTCTTTAGTGTCTTGTATTCCTTTTTGTTTCTGTTTTGTTTTTTGCTTTCTTGCCCTTCTATGCACATACACTTACACATGGTGTTATGTTGGAATAAACCCGTCTTAGGAGAATCATGTTTTTGCATCAATTTAGCTGTTCATTTGTTGTTTGCGGAGTGTTTGTTTCGTTTTTTGAGGTGGAGTTTGTGGCTGGCATAGCGCCCCTCCCCTCCCCCTGCCATTTCTTTTCTTATCAGACCAGCGGTTGCTAGGATACCCGGAAGAACCGACCCTTAGAGGAAGTTTAAGGAATACACGGTTATACGGCGATTTGGGATGTTCCTGGTAGGGAAAATGGGTATGGATTTGTTGATTTTTGCGTTTTGCAAATGCTTTCCCCTTTCATCTTGTTCTCAGTTTCTCTGCTGAACACAAGTGTTCTGCCCTCTTATTTTAGAGCTGAATGCCATAAATTGATGATATGGCGGTTATTGAGAGATAGTGTAGGTACGGGATGATGGTGATGTTTTAGCCTTTCTATTTGCTTTGTTACTGGGCTCTTATCTGTTTCCACCGCTAGGGTGTTACGGTTGGCGGCTTCAAGGTTGCGGGAACATATTTACTGGGTGATGAGGAAAGGAGAGAGGATTGGTGCTGGTAGTGGTGACGACCAGAGGAAGATGAGTGGCTGATCCACCCGGTGTGTATGTATAGAGTATCAAATCGTGTAATGATAATAAGAGCATAATTTGTGCGAGTACTTCATTTCTTCACTACGCATTTCTTTGTTGGGAGTTGTAGATTGATTATTGGAATTTGTGCACCCGGGATGCTTTCGATGATTGAATGTCGACGACGGAACGCAAAAAAACGCCGGTTTAGGATGTTCACCATACGTCGAGCATGTAGAGTGAATATCCTCCGACATTAAAAGAGTAAGAAGAGGGGAGTTCCGGTCTGATGGATATGCCCACTAGAAGTGTAGAGACACTGCTGCTCCATCCCACCCCCCCTAACTGAGCACGATGGTTCTGTATGCCCTTGTAAGCGTCCGGGGAAAACATACAGCTAGGGATTTAACTATTGGTTTGCCTACGCCTGGAAACTATCCGACTGCAACGGTTGTTGCGCCGATGCGGAGCACGTTTCCTGGCATCCAATTTGTGGACTTGTGCCCGATTAATACCAACAGCGGTAGGATAAAGCTTGGTGATGTCCTTGTTAGTAAACTGGTCGATCGGAGACTGCTCTGACATTAGCTATGCAGTAATATGGTCATGGGAAAGCTGAAGAGGGCCGTCGCAACCAAGCGTCCAGACCAGCAGCTGGTCTGATTCTAGAGGACCTGAACCAAATCGATACTTTGCTGCTTGCGAAATACACAAACGGCCTGGCAGAGGCTCACTAGAGAATTCCCTGCCCCGTGTGTAAAAGCTATTGAAACTGAGGATGGCAGTTGAGCCAACCAGTGATTGGAAGGTGATTGCAAACCGACTCTTCATATGATGCTTCGTGGGATGCCACTTGCGGGTCGGTGATTTGTCTAATCCAGCAAAAGTCATCATGACGCAAGAAAACGGACTTTCCTCCATTGTTCAATTATTTAGGATTACCCTGAAGTTAAAGGGCGTGGTATAGATGCGTCATGAACGACATGACATGCCCGTGATCTCCTTGTTCGTTAACCTATAGTTAGCTTGATGTTAGGTATATATATACGAGTCTTGGTCGCAAGAAACTGAACGACGAAAGCATATATAAAAAGAGACGTGGATCCATTACTGGGAACAACCTCACACAGAAGAACCTAAGAGAGATATGAAAAGGTACGTAATAGAAAACATGGCATACGCCAATAATAATCAAAAAATTCTGTGGACCCGATGCCCGACGACCACCCCTGGTTTATATTTATGGATATCAGCACAGCGTTTTATCTCGGTTGTTGGCTTTGTTATTAACCACTCCGCCTGTCACTTGAAATGACTTTCTTTAGCCCTTTCTCTCCAACCCAATAGCGTCGCCCTCTTCCCGCTGCCGACATATGTCTCAAGACATATGCACGTACAATAAATACTTAACTCGAATCTGCGCCACATCATATACAATATACTCATTGTATTGTAACCGCGCATCAGTATTGTCCTGCTTCTTCGGGGGATCCTTGACATCCGGCATAAGAGCCCCTTTAAGACTTTCATGCACACAGCCCGCATCCTTCCAACCCTGCGGGACCGTTTGCCCCTTACCAAGCGTAGACAGACTTCCCTGCTTCTTCGCATTCTCCCCAGCATTGTAGTCGCTGTTTACAAGTTCCAGCATCGGATTCCCCAACTCGACATCACAGAGCATCAGAATGCCAATCTTGTCGCTGCTGTAGGGCCAGCAGTAGTTGGCGGATTTGCTGGAGATGTCAGCAAAATAGACACCTTTGCCAAACATATAACCCGTTACTGGGGCCTCGGGGGGTGCGATTCGGAGACCTTGGCTAAGGATACCACCGTAGTTGGTGCTACGGGAACCGTGCCAGAGGAGGCGGCGGTTGGTGTTTTGTAGGTGTGCGAAGGGGGAGGCTTCGAAGCGCTCCTTTTCGCCATGACGCTCAACCCGGAAGATGTGTTCGAGCTGAGGATTAGTTAGCTTAGTGCTTATTCTAGCTTTTTCCCAATTACTGGACTCTGGCGGGGCTTACCCTGTAACGAAGATGGTGCGTGTGCCCGTGAGACTTCACGAGGTAGTCTTCCAATTCCCTATATTCGACGGTAGTCGGATCCACTGGATGGGCAATAAAGTGTTAGCATTATGGGGATTGAAGAAAGAGTGGAAGAAGCAGCTATGAAGTACGTACGTGGTGACATCTCCTGCAGACCAAGGCCTTGATATTGCATGTCGAGATAATGTACGCCATTTTCGGAGGCTTTCGCATCTTTCATAATCTCGTTCGCAATCTCCATGTCGGTTAAAGTCTCGAGGAGATCAACTTCACGCTTGATGATATCTTGGGAGCCAATAACCGGTGGGCGATGGCGCCCAAACACATGGGGAATGAGGGTAAAGTATTGGTTGCTTAGTTGCTCTGCTGCTGGGCCAAAAGGCCGACCATATTTTTGCATGGCAATTGTCGGGTCCGCGACCAATTCTGAAAGCTCTTTGAGAACCTCAAAACCCAACATGAGAGTGCGCTTGCTTAACTTGCCCAGGGGTAACTTCTTTGCATCATACGACATGCTAGCCATTGTCGAGAGCATATGTTGCTGATTAAAGATGAGACCGACAAATTTCTGGACGGGCTGCGGCAATGTACATTCGATTAGCTTCATTTCTTCCTCATCTTCCTTTTTCACCTTTTTGCCCGTTTTCTTCTGATCAGCGTCCTCGCCGTCAGAGTCGTCCTCCTCATAGTTCCTCTCGATGAAAGTATACTTTCCAACCCTTGGTGGGTCGAGTCGATTACTCCACGAAAGTCCGGTCTTGTTTCTGAATTTTTTATCAAACGTGGCTTTCGCCTGATCAAGGGTGAGCCCAGAGAATGCGGCATTTTGTCCATTTTCGCCCACTCGACCCCATCGTGTCCATGTGGTATATTTGCCCGAGGTTTTGTTCACCAGTAACTGGATCAGATAGAACTTGTTGTTATTATATGTGGAATGGGTCTGGTTCAATGCTGCATCATATATAAGACCTTTATCGTCGATAAAAACCTCATGAGTTGCTTTGTGTGTTTTCAGCCAACTTTGTTGCAAGTCACATGCGAGAGTCCACTTAAAGATTGGAATGATACTTACAGCGACGTGGGTAGTTTTCATCGACTGGCACTTGTAACGTTGGAGGGGAAGCCTTCTGAGCATCCTTTTGCTTCTTCGCTGGGGGCTCATCTTGGGATTTGGATGAGGCGTCCTCGTCGTCTGCGGCTAATGTCCGTTTGGTCTTCGAATTTGCTGGATTTTTCTTCCCATCTGATGGCTTTACATCTTTGGCTGGCTTATCATCGTCATCACCGTCAACACTTGGTTTGACATTGGAACTATCTAGCTGCAGTTTGGCTCTGGATGACCTTAATGGCCTGTCATTACCTGCTGCTGTGGGCGAAGCGGTTGCTGTTAGAAGATAAGAAGATTCTGTGACTGGGTTCCCGTCCGCGGCTGAATCCAGAAGCCAGTCCAAGGAGACAATATGCAAGTCTTTGATTAAAGCAGCTTGTTTACCTGAGGCATAATTAGTTATATGTAACACAACTAGGAGCGGAGAGATGAGAACTTCTCAGCAAGCACTGGATTTATTAAGATCCTGTTTAACACCGCTCCACAAGACAAAGTAATGAGGATAAAAGTCAATTGCAAACGGCGAGGTAAATAAAAAATAATAAAGAAAAGAAACTCACACTTTGGTTTACTGTCATCTACTTCCTTCTGCGTAGTCACAAGATGCGTACATGTATCAACCACCTTTGCAGTGTAAACTCCACCGCCGGATTCAATTCTGTCTATCAGAACCGCTGTAAAACGGTTAGCACCTCCAAGCCCCGAACGCCGGCTGATAGCATTCCATCCTCTTTATTCCTGTTGAGATTTAAATTTTTTTTTGAGTATCATGTGTTGAAACACACCTTGCTTATACCCTGGAAACGTGCCACTCAAGGCGATAATGTGATTTTTGAAGACGCCAGTCATGTTTTAACCAAACTATGAGAAAGAGGAGAAAACGACTGCAGAAGAAGGGCAACGATGGAGCGGAAGGATGGATGTAGAGTTAAATACAACGACCCCAAACAATAGGGAGACACAGAGCCTTTTTAAACCGCCATCTCAAGGTGTGTTTGTTTCTTCTTTTTCTTCTTTTTCTTTTTTATTTTTATTTGGCGTCAAAGACCAGAGCTTTAACTAGTAACAGTCCGTGGCTTAAAACCGTCTCAGCTCCTTGACTAGGCGGCAGCGCACTGGTGATTGGCTAGCGACACCATGATCTCACTGGGCGCCAAATGAAACCAAGCTCTGGCCTCGCGACTTGGGCTGGCAGATAATTGAGATGTTGGCTCCATCTCTCGGAATTATTCGCTGAGCTTGTTGTATGCCACTGCCCGCAGAGGCCTCTGCAGGTGGGTGCCTAAGGGCTTATTTATTGTTGAGGGTCCAGGCCACACAGCTACCGTATGTCTCTATCAGGCAGAGAGATGTAGGATGCCTCGAATGAGCATCCAAAGACAATCTCCAGACGATTCCCACGCTCGATTGTTTCAAATCATTCATGTTGCGATATCAACCGTGGAGATAATCTCATGCATGCCTCAGCTATTCTTTGCCTGCCCTGTCCCGTATAATTGCGGTTAAAGACAAGGTTTCTCATGGTATCAACTCTTTTTGTTTATTTAGTTACTATGAATTTGTGGCAAATTATTTAACTTAGCCCTTTGGAAAGCCCAGAGCCCGTTACGAGAAAACATAGGACACGCAAATCTGCGGCAAGGAGCCTCGTTTGAATGCCCATGAACATCATCTACCAGCATTATGTAGCAATTCACATGCTACATTTGATCGCAATGAAAGGCTTCGATTTTTCCAGGCTTCGCATTAATGCCCCGCGTCCAATTATGGCGAATTCCAATCGACTGAAGCTCAAATAATTTCGTGGAGAGTAGCATTGGAAACTCCTGCTCCCTAAAGATACGCATAGATCTAAACGGATATGTCAAAATATAATCCTGGGAAGCTCCCTCGCTCAGGGAGACATGACAAGAAACAAAAAAAAAAAAAAAAAAAAAAAAAAAAAAAAAAATCCAAGGTTTACCATCACAAACTGTATAAACAAACATACGGGGCCAGGATTAACGACAGATAGTTCCCCAGGAAAGGCATGCGCCGACTACCTATTTGACAAAGCAACGCCGTCCGATTTCCACCAGAGCTGTAGGAGGATTCCTCGCCAGCTGTTCTTGAACCATAGAGAAGCCCTGCAGGATTCCATCCTCGAACTTCTCACTCTTTTATTGCAAACGTATTGTTGATTTCAGGGAGATAGGAACAGAGTGAAATTCCTCCTTATCCTCATTCACAAATCCATTCTGCAACGTCTCGTCTAGAGACAAAACAACTTCAGCTTTGTCCATAGATTTGAATTTTTCAGTCAAAGTTTCCCTTTTCTTGGGGTGGTTGTCTTTTTGCAGTTTACCATGGGCGACATCCTCCTTTTCACCCATTGTTGTTAAAACTTCGCCATATCCCTCCTCCCCGGTTGTCCCTTTATACAGTCTACCCCCCCGCTGATAACGGTTTTCATTAGACGATTTATCCGCTTTGGCGGATTGGATTTCTTCAAAAGCTACTTCTCCTTTGAATACGTCCTTCACGGTTGAATCATGCTTCATCAACCCATGATTCTCGTCGCCGTCATGCACCTCAAAAATTTCAATACTCTCATCGTAAGCTGAAATTTGATCTTGTGTTGCTTCTTCCGATATTGGAAGATGCAATAAAGTAGGCGAGGTGACGCGTGTAGCATTCCTAGCCGGTAGCGGCGGCGGTGGTGGTGATAAGCGTTTGTGGATAGTAACGAGGCGAGCACGAGTAAAAGAGGGGCTGGCAGGACGAGCTTGGTTCGGATCCTCTGGAATGGTGTGATCTTGAATGCAAAGGGATCCTCGCCGTGGGGAAGAATTCTCTTTTGTTGAAGCTGTAGTGCTCTCTGTTATAGATGAGTTATCAACTTCCAACTGGTAGAGAGACCATGGCGTCCTATCTTTACCATTATGTGACGAGATGCGACTGATTGATGTTAAGGAGACTGTGGGTCGGCTGTCGATGAAGTCGTCTGTCTGGGTGCTTCTGTCGGCACTCGCAGTACTCTGAACGCTGCTCCGCCAGCTGTCCCTCTGAGAACTACTTGCACTCAGCCGTGGGAAGCGATGGTCGAATATAGGACTCGTCGGGCTTGGTCGGAATTCAAACATGCCACTACTAGGTATACGTCTCGTTCCGGCTTCTCGGATCACTATGCCTTCTTGTTCCAATGCTTTTACACCAAACGGATCGGGGTCTTTAGGCGCTGGAATACCGAACAAATCCTTTTCAATTTCAGCATCTCCAGGAGCTTCCCCTGGTGGTGGAAGCATGGAATTGTCCACATCTGTATCGCCTTGAGCTGCCTTTATCGTCTGCATTAACGTTGTTATCGATTGTGGTGGATGTTTTGCTTTACCCGCCAAAATACCGGCAGCAGAAATTCTCTCTCCATAAAAACGTTCGTTTTCATCGCTTCTCTCGATAATGGTAGCCCCGTCTACCTGGCCACCAACATAAAATCCCCGACTTTTCAGATACATCCACAACGGAGCCTGTCGCTTATGCATTTCGGTTTCCAAAACACCTCCCACACCGACGGGTCCGGCAACAACACTGACTTCCCCACCAAGTGTACAACGTATGCCTTTGAACCTCTCCAGAGCTTCGCATGTATTTATGATAACCACGCAATCGTAGATATCAACGCCAGTCAGAAATCCAAGCCCGGCGGTATGCAGCATGATTCCCGAAGGCGGACTCCATTCGCCCGTTTCCTTGATCCTTGCGACCAGAATTCCGCTACCTCCAGATCCACTAGGCCAGAGGCCTGTTCTCATTGTTGTAAATATTGCAAGGCCCTTTGCCTGTTTGATCACCGCTGAAGGTATCTTTTGAACAACCCTTTGCTTTCCTCTGGGCTTGCCAATAATCCCTCTGTTTCTACCTTCGGTACCCTTGTATTCTGCTGTCCTATCATCTTTACTTGCGTGCGAACTTGACCCGCTTTGCCTCTCATTCTCATCTTCAACCTCAGTGTAAAATCCGTCCTTGCAAAAACTGCGCAGGATACGGGCCGCCTTGTCGCTTTCCTTGTCTAGCGTCGCAGGCCAGAATGCCTCAGCACCGAGCTTTTTCGAAGAGCGATTTCCTGGTGCGCCAAGCTTATCGACAGTATTCCAGACTTTATCAAACCCTCGCTTTGAATACAATTTCGCTTTCTCCCATTTGGAGTGTGGCATCGTGCCATTCGTTTCTCGTCAATTGGGACCACCGATATTGAGGTAAGAGCCGGGCAATTTCGTCGGACACATCGATTCAGGAACGAAACGAAGGAGCTCTTATGTGTCGGAGGAAACCTCAGCAACAGAGACCCTCTTGCATTAGGGAAGGCGAAATGCGGGAGAAGGATTGGCCACCCGTTCAGCTCCACTGCAGCGAGCTGTCCCTTGACGTCAAGATGCGATGAGAGCGGTTTAGAACAACAAAAAAGTTTAAATTGGCCCCGCGTGTACTTCACTTTTTAAGCTACTTACATTACGACGTGTGAAAATGACAAAAGATATGTAGTGCTGCAGATAAAGTACAAGAGTGAAAAAAAGGGAGGAGGCCATCTGTGAGTTAATTGAGTCTTACCAAATATGAGGGGGAACAGCAGATGGCGGAAATGATCAATTGATAAGAAAAACCTAATGTTTCTTGTTCATTCCAAGTTTGTTGTGTTATTATTACACGGGGACACGAAGCTTTGTTTCACTGATTCCCCCCCCTGAAACAGTTCTTGCTCTGTGAGCACCGTTTAAGATGTCTATACGTGGCTATCTTCTCTCAGGGGTCGGGAGGGAACTGAAAACAACAAATGGCCAGAAGTTGGCGGAAACACTTGATCTGCCTGAGGGCAGTCCCGACGGGGTGGAAGGATTGTATGAGCAACATGTGTATGTTCAGTACTTTATTTTCCTCACGGACGGGCTGAGAATGAGGAGTCGGCGTCCGCAGTTGTAATTACTTTCCAGCCTGTCACCAGAAGTGTGGGACAACTTGGAAGTTGTTCGATCCATAGCGACATCACTGCCCCCACACTACTTCAGCAAACACTTCTTTTGTTCCAGGTTGATGGAGATCTCCACTCCCGAGGCCCATATACAAACATTGGTTGTCCAGATTTAGGGCTGCTGGAGTCACGTGGGATCGAGTGACACCTCAGGTTTTGAATTTACGAGTTTTATTATTGGGAAACGGAGGAAGAAAATATTATTACATTGAAATATTTTGAAAGGAAAAATGGATCCCAAGGACAGCGAAGGTGTGATTGCCGACGCAAATATGTTAATGACCATCAAAGTTTAGAATACCTCGGCCACCTTCTCTGGATTAGAGTCAGACTTCCCGCCGTCCAAGGCATCAGCCTGGCGCCGAAGAATGTCAGCCCTCAGTCTCGCAAATGCACGTTCAATCCTCAACTTGGACTCCAGGTCTTTCACTAAAGTTCTCCGCGCAGAATAAACGCCACAGAGCAGCCCCGCTTCTCCACCTATGAACAATCCTCCCGCAGCGAAAAGTCCGAACGTCGCAATGTCGCCCAGCAGAGTGGGTCGAAGGAAAGGTGTCAGATCGGGAACCATCTCTTATAATTATAGCAAGTTGTTAACAAGAGCACATCTAAACCAAAGTAGAAAAAGCGAACAATGACCATCCGCACCTATTCTGCCGCTTGCAAACTGCACATGTGTCGGTTTCTCCACGATGCGGAAAGCAGTAAACATGTCCATCCGCACTCGCCGTACTCGATACGCCATGTACATCCCTAACCCGATGCCAACGAGGGACCCGACCGTAGTGTGTGTTCCAAGCTTGGATGCAGCGGAATTCAACCTATCGCGATCAGATGGCTGTAGATCGTGCTCCAGGTGCTCCTCTGCGAGCTTGTTGAGCTCCTGGCGGGTGGTGCCCCGGAAGACTGCGAGAGAGTCGGGCATTGTTTCTGGATTTTACCCCCCCCCCCTTTTTTTTTTTTTTCTCTATAGTGACGGCACGGGCATGTGAGTAGTTGAGTAAAACTGGAACACTTTACACCGGAGCCTTCAAATGGGCATTGCCAGGGGCTGTTTTAACTGTTGATGTTCAGCATGATGTTCAGCATGACGTTCTAAACCATATATGCCTGGGAGATATTAGCTCCGGAGTCGGTGACGTCATAGGGTAGATCAAGAGCTTTTCTTATTCGTGGCATCGGAACTACATCCTTGACAGTCGCTGGTAACTCGACGGCCTCCAATGGTTCGTATGCTGCCAATCGGTTTAATGTTAATGGGTTGGCGGCTTTACGTTGCTTTTCTGCATTTCCATCCCTGCTATTTGTCTGAGGAATTGCCTCTGGAAGTTATTACGGTCCCCTAAGGGAGTTACATGATAATGAAAACGCCACTGAACTCGTACACGTCCTTTCGGTGTGAAAATTGGTATCAGAGACGACAAGGGGCCGAACTTTGACAGAATTATATGCCTGCTTTAAACGTGTCTCTGGTGGGGAAGACGCAATCACTATTCCATGGACCTCTGGAAGTGCGATAGAAGGATTACCTCCTCCATTTTTTGACCTGACGTTTACTTTCCGGCTCGGCACCGTCTAGCTGGTTGTCTCCCGAGTATCATGCCACTGGCGTGAAGGGCAATACATGGAACACAAAAATTTCAAGGGGAACAAGATAATATCTGATCATCACTATCAGTCGATATAAGTAAACAAAATAAAATAAAAGTTTATTTAAGAAGATTTATTGAAAAAAATATTTCATACATTTTTACTAAATTAAGCTTTCTTCATTTCCTATTAGATAGGAACTTGTTTTGAAACAGTAAAAATGAGACTTAATATGTATGAATCGAGAAACATTGAGAATAAATAGAGTTTGTGAGTAAAAGTATTTTATTTTCTCTCTATATAGAGCTTTAATATATATATATATATATATATTATATATTTAATTATTAAAATATAAAGTATATAAGTAATAAATTAAATAATTACAAACTTTTCCTTATTAATAAATTTAATATTAAATTATATATAAATTACTTATAATCAAAATAATTAAAATAAATATAAATAATATGTAAATAATACTAGTATTATTTTTAAATATAACTTTTATATTTATTAAAAATTTAACATTTTATTTTTTTATATAATATTAAATATTATTAAATTAAAGTAGTTAATTTATATTTATTTAATTTTAATTTTAAATTATATAAAAACTTTCATCTTATAGTTATTAATATATTTGCTTTAAAAATAATAAATTAATTTTAATCTTTTAAGTTTTAAGTAATTAATTAAATAATTTAATTTCATAAATTTAATTATTATTGAGACGGCGAAGTCAAACCACGCATTTTAACGACTAGATGGAACGTCAAAGTTGAACATCAGACAAATTGAACATGCGAGAGTTTGACTGAAAAGGGAAACTAGGGCATGAAACTAGGGCGCATCTCCACATATCTTCTCCTTATCCTTAGTTAGCTTTTAAATCTTAGTAAAATGGCACTTACTCTTTTTTCACACCGGTAACCAGCAATAGTAATTATTTTAATTATTTTATTAATATTTTATGTAAGTTTAAAATGTTTAGTAGTAAGTTAACTAGTTTAAAAATCTTAAAATTTTTATATAATAATTATCAGTAAATTATATTTATTAAAATTTAAAATTAATTAAAAAATTTTTTATAATAATTAATAAATAGATATATTTATTTCTTTTTAAAATAGTAAATGCGTAGATAAGTTAATAAGTTTATCTTAGTAAGAAGTAAATTAATTATTTCATATATTTGCAATTTTAAAAAAGAGCAGATCTAAACTATATGTAATGATCAATTTTTTAAAGCTATTTTCTCTATAAGAATTAGTTTTTAATTTTTAACTGAGATTTCTACTATATCAAATGATAATTAAAAATAAAATAAAAAGTATTATAAAGTTTTACAGCAGCTTATATAGTTAGAATTTAATCTTCATTAAAAGCTTGAATGATTAAAAGAAGTTTTTTTTTTTTTTTTTGATAAAAAGCTTAATCACTTTGTTTGTTGACATTTTTAATTACTTGATTTTAATGGAAAGTATCTCATTTGATGATATATCTTACTAGATAATAGAATACATTAAAAGTTACAGTTGATTATAGTTTTGAAAAAAAATTGAATGCGATTGAGTCCACACTTTTAATATCTTGACCAACTCTGGTCAATCTCATATAACTGAAGTAAACAGTCTGCATACTCCTCATATACATTACACATATTATCTCTATTCAACCTTATCACCGTCAACACCAGGATTAGGGGTAGATCGGCTTATGTTAGGTTGAAATCAGAATCAAGGGTCTAGGCGATACCCCAACGCCTTCCAACCCGGAGCGGTATTGTTTCCGATGTGACTGGTCGTCGTGATGCAGTTCAGCTGATGATTCTCCCCATGCTGGTTGAACAAGTCCCTTATTTTACACCTCGAGAATCTGCACCTGCCAGAGATTCACTTGCAGAGGTGTGTTCTGCCGATGCCTGCCCAAAGATACGCCAAAAAAATGTATTATCCGAGGGAGCGCTTCCGGGTGCCAATGTTTGTGCATGAAATTTGGGCGCCTTATAGCAGGAGACACCTTTCGTCCCGAAGAAGGCCACTCAAGGAATTGAGTTGTATTCACATGACGCATTTCCATGGGGTGAGGATGAGGAGCGGATGGGTGGAATTCATCCAGATTGTTATTCATTAGATTCGACTTTTGTGTTGCCATATATATATATATATTTGGCCTTGGTAGGTGCAATACTTAACTTTGTCAATGTGAAAGGATTTAGATCAGAAACTCCGGAGCTTGAGATGGAAATTGACGGATACTGAATGTCCAAAGAACAGCTCTAGTCATTGACATACCACACCAGCGCTCGCACCGAAAAATTCCTCTCGCAAAATCTGGAAAAGATAGAAATTCTCGTTGCAAAACGTGACTGTTGTATAATCTGTCCAGTTTAAGATGTGGGAATCCCGATGGGTGGAAGAGAGATGCGATCGAGCCGGGGAATGAACTATCGTTGGTTCCATACGAGAAACATTACATCAGTGAGAGTAAGATTTCATACAGTCAAAATAGATGGATCATAGGCTAGCCGTCGCTTAGAGTATTTCATAGATATTTCCTCCAGGATGCTTGGGTATTGCATGGTTTGAGGTAGTCCTATCGCCCTCCGCAATAAGTTTCTTGACCCAATCGATCCCGGAATTCCACCAAATATGGCGGTGCGGCATCCCGACCAGGTCGATACTGCTGCGGTCCAACGTCCCCACCCCGATATCCATTAGAGTCTCCGACCCCTCCTCCTCGAAAGCCACAAACGATATATTGGTACCACAGCTGGAACAGAACGTGCGCCATACCGATTTTGAAGAAGCATAATGTGTCAAATAAGTGCCCTTGGTGACCTCATTCGGGTGCACCAGTTGGTCTCCAGTGAGTATAATTTTGGCACCGTCTTCCTCTACTCCAACTGCATCTAAGGAAGAATCATCGGACCGACGGAGTAATGAAAATGTGATGAATTCTTGTGGACATATGTTCCAAAACTGAACAGGGACACCAGAGGCACTTCGGCAGTCGCTGCAGTGGTCGAAACATAACAATGGGACTTTGATATCGGGTTGCCCTGGAGGGTGATTTGGATTCAGGACTGGCCTCTGCTCATACCCGGGAAATGTGATTATGTAGCGAACAGCAGCACAATGGCAGCCGCCATGAAGAGAAAAAGGCTCACTGGAGGGAGAATGCATGGTTTCGGTCGTGGGATTGATACCAGACGAAAAACAGGTTCCGCTGTGCCGAAGTTATTCGTTGCTTCAAAAGGCCTACAGGGGTGGTTAGACTTCGCAAGGAGTGGTGACATCGGTACCGACCAACACATCCCATCATCACGAAGCAAGCCCGGGAAAGTTGCACGAAGACAATTCGGATATCACTGATCAGTCAAGGCGGGTTGGTTCACAAAGTCGCGAACTCCGGAGTTCTGATAAGTTAGTCAATTGATCATCCTAAGATTATCTTTTTCGCCAGTCTCGAGTCAAGATTCGGGGAAAGTGTTGGTTGATGGGGATTCCAGATGAGCAGAGCTCCTCACATGTGATTGATCTTTATCATGCAGAGATAAGCAGTCTGTCTCAATCACTAACCACGAGCATCCGACTGATCTTTGTTTGATTTAAATTATTGTTCTGCCTAATTAATTTGCATTGATGATAGGGTAAAGTTAGTAGTTAGTTAACTAAGAGATATTACTAATCAATGCGGAATCAACAGCCCTTTGATGCTTACTCGCCGGTTGTTGGTAACGACCCACAGTCGGAGCATTTATGCGACAAGTAGTGAGTTACGTATGCACCGTACGTATTCACGGCACGACCATAGAAGAGCATACATGCTTGCAGGTGCATTACCAAGACCAACGCGGGATGGATATCCAGACTGGGTGGTCACCAACGAACATCCATGGATCTCGTGCAGTTTGGCTTCACGTAACTCGCCCCTCAGGAAAGCTTCAATCAATAAAGCCTAAACGCACGCAGTGGAATGAAGGTGAAATGTCCGCACATTTGATATGGGGGTTCGTCTGATGGCAGTCCTGTTGAAGGCGCATGGTTTTTCGTTGTGCTATTATTAAATGCGGAAATGAAGGCGCCATGGTACCGCTCTTAAAAGCTGCACAGCGGAGAGTCACTTTGGTCGTTTAACCATGTTATTCAGGGATTCCTCCAATCGGGTCCATCCGGAAGCTCCAAAATTACAATTGGCAGAGCCGGGTTGTGGCTTCGACCTGCTAAGGATTGTTGCAACCTTAGTGCTTGACAGATTATAGAGTGATATGTAAAAGTAACCGTCCCATTCTCCCTCCTCCAAAGTTTACGAACCAGTGCCAAGCGCATG